TGAGTGGGCTTTATAATTTTAATTAGTATTTAAAACAGAAACAAGTAACTTTAAGTACAACGAGTTAAGAATGGCTGAAGCAAAAATAATTGAAGTTAGTAAACCAATTTTTAAGAACTGAAAAACTTTTCTTTCTTGGGGGAAAGAATCAGTTATCGGGTACACTGAGGAAAATGGATTAGTGGTTAAAATTATTTGTATTAACTTTGACGAATATTAATAATTTCATTGAAAACGCAGTTATTATTGAAAGTATTTTTGTTTACAAAATCAATCGCACAAATTGCTTTAAAAGATTACATTTGAATTAAATACACATACATAAAATTACATAGATAAAAATACATTACATACATAAAAATACATTACGTACATAAAAAATACATCCCTTATATATAAAAAATAAGAATATACTAATAAAATCTATAATATATTTACAAAACGTTGAAAAGTTAAAAAATATAAATTTTAAACATTTATTATTGTAAACAAATAATGTTAGTTTAAAACATTTATAGCTTTGTAGATGTGGCTCTAAGAATTAAAATAATAGTTCGTTTGATAGTATATTCTTAAAATAATTTATGCTAAAAATCTTACGAAAACGTAACAAAATTCAAATAATACAATTTTTAAAAATATTTCAACAGAATACTCAGGACATTCGGTTAGTATTTTTTGAATACTCTAGAAATTTCGGTTAGTATCTTTATATAAGATGTTTGAGAACATTCAAATTTATGTATGTTTTAATTCAAATTTAAGTCCGTAAAACAAAATATTTTAAAATTTACAATAAAATGAACTTATTATTTTGCGGAAAAACAAGGAAACATACATAAACTTAGATGTTCTCAAAACGACTAAAAAATCTGGCCGGTTTTTTGCAACTAAATATTATTTCTGTGGTCAGTTATCGAGTGCGATCGCACCCGCTTTGCGACCAAGTCTGGTCACATCTATTCAATTTGAAGAGCTATTGCAAGGTTTAAATTCCATCAAAATCATTTGCCGGAAACCAATAGTTTACTGTTCAATATAGCAATGAGAATAATATGATCTAATTATTAAACTGCACACGAAAAGTTACTTACCACAATAAAATAGCACTATCATGGCATTTGAGTTCAATATGTGAGACATTGAGTTCAATATGTGTGACATTGAGTTCAATATGTGAGACATTGAGTTCAATATGTGAAACATTAAGTTCAATATGTGAGAATTATTCATTTGACATTTAACATCAAACTGAAACATACAATTCAGTGATCAAAATGGAAAATTTAGAGTTTGCACTGTTAACAATTCTTTGGGAAAGAATTTTGAGTTAAAGTGACATTGTATCTGAATCCCTGCAGAGCACAACAATTGATGCCAAAAACTTGTTAAACTTGAAAATGAAGAATTTAAAATTTAGCAAAAACTTATTCAGATGATACTAATGCGAATTTCTTCTATAAATTGCTTCATTATTGACTATGAATTGATTCATTATCAACATCTGAAAGCAACTTAAATGCACACAAATTTATTCATACAATACAATTTTTATAGATGTTTAATGGTAACTAATTGCTCTGGAGAGCACTCTTTTTCAACATTAAAGCTAATTAAAACATGATTGTACAATCCTGTGGATCAAGTTATTTTAAATAGTTTGGCAATTATGTCAATTAATCACTATAAAATTAGGATGGCCATTGATCACGCAAATCATGGTAATGTCATGGAATTTCATATGGTCATGGAAAAAATCATGGAGTTTCTAATCTTTCATTGAAAATCATGAAAAATATTTGGAGCTTTTTAAAATGATCTTTACTATTTTTTACTAGTGATATTTTCAATATATTTTCAAAAGAAAAGTACTAGAAAAGTAACCTTTTTTGAAAAAGATATTGAAATGTAAGTTATAGGTAATCATTTTATTGCAATTAGTTAGGTCAGAACACCCTTTTTAAAAGATAGTTTGAATTTTAGTATTATTCAAAACAAAAATTAGGTTAGTTTGTATCAATCAATTATGGTCAGGTCAGGATATATAATGCTGAAATCAAGTTATTTAACTAAAGATGAGATGTTGGACTTTTAAGTAAATAAGATAATGTTGAGCATTTGTTATCTAATTTAGGAAGTATTGAAGAATGTTTTTCATAAAACTTTTGCAGGATTGTGATAAGACTCTATGGAATGCTAGAGTGATTTTTAATAGGTAATCAACCTGTTTGTATATATCGGGAATATCGATATATTGGGAAGAGTGTGGTCATTACATTGAAAAAGAACTAGAAAAAATGTTTATTCAAAATAATTGCTTTATTCTTGCGAGAGGTAATAAGATCAAATTCATTCAATTGTTTAATTTTTTTTCATAAGACTGTAAACAACCACTTTTTTTGGCAGGAGGTTCGATAAAACTTTTACAAAAAGGAGTTACTAGAAAGTAAAGAATTAAGTTAAAGGAGCAAGAAACCTTTAATAAGTCTTTTTGCATTAATTAATTACAATGATAAAAAGCAAAAATATAAAAATAAAAGCAAACATATAAAGTCATTATTTCAAATCTTAAACACTAAATACATCTTAGCAGCTTTTAAAACATGATTCAAAACAAACACATAAAATAATTATTTCAAATATGAAATGCAAGTTAATCTTTAAATTTATAGATTAATTTTATATTTATAGTTTTCCTTTCCGAATTGACAATTTCAACTTAGTTATTTTAATTGGTTTTGCAAGTTTTACTAATTCTTTAATTTTCTAACTATTTTCTTTAACCGCAAAACTAATTTCTTTAATCAGTTGTGAACATGTTGCAAAATATTATTATTTTAAATTTCACTGGCTAAAAAATTATTTTTTCAATTGAAAATAAAAATATGTATTTTTACAAAAAAATTTTATTAAATTTTTTTTTTCTCAATGTTTATTATAAAATAATTATTATTTTTGAAATTTTGATATAGTTTTGCTTCTTTTGAGACCAAACATGATATACTTTTGAGGAACTTTTTTTTTGATAGTATTAGGAACCTGTCTAATGTTTAAGAAACTTGTGCAACCTCTAAAAATGTTTCAAATCACCTTAGATTTTAACCAATATTTTTTTTAATTTATAAACAGTTTTAGTAGATGGATAAGAATGGGAGGTTCTAATATGCACTTCTTCAAAAAAAATTTTTTTTTTTTTTTATATTATATGATATTATATGATATAAAAATGTTTTTGGACCACCTTAATCAATATTTATTTTAATAAGTTATTTATTAATTTAGGCCTGATTAAAAATTCTTTATAGCTGTACAACTGAAGAAACAATCAGAGTTTACAATTATCATGCTGCTGCAGTAATGATTTTCTGATTTTATACGCCAATTATGTTATAACCACGGTATACGCTTGGCTGTAATGGGCATTATTTATAAAAAAAATAAAAATCCTAATGCTTTTCACATTCTTTAAAAAATGGCTCTTGTGACAACTATAGTAAATCTGAAACTAAAAATGATAATCCAAACCCTGTTTGAAAAAGATAATATAACTCCCCATGTGAAAGAGATAATATAAATGTGGCTTTACAAATGATTAAAAAAATAGATAAGTTATTTAAACTTTTGTCTAAAGGAAATTCTATTTTACAAGACCATGTAAAAGGCACCGAATTGAATTTAGTTTACAGCTAGATTGCCTGACCAGATGAAACAGCATTGTGACAGTGGTTGAAAGATTTGTAAAAGTGATGGACTCGATGAAAAAAGCATTAAATGACTTGTACTCCCTAGAGCTGTTTAATGATATTTATGTTTAAAAAATATTTTTAAGATGCTTCAACCAATCAAAATAGCTGTAGAGGCAATAGGTAATGTGATGCAAATTTGCTAACAGCTGATGTTTTTTAAAAATTTTGATTTGATTTCCTGCATGATAATAATGATGCAATTTCAAAGGATATGTTGCTAGCTCTGTCGCTTTGCATTAAAGAGCAAAGAAATCAAGATCTTGTTACTTAGATTAAATTCTTTTAAACACTCAGTTTGCATTCAACTTATACCTGCTACTTGAGCTACCTTCATTAAAAGGTTTTATGCAATAGACTAGCAATTATTATTTGTTATGCAATTATTATTATGTGAATGACTTATTTAATATATTATTTAGTGACTTATTTAATATACTATTGGAATAAAAAGCAAACACTTTACAAAACACTGCATTAAAGGTTCTAGTAAAAAACAATTATACATGTTTTATTATTTGGGTAAATACTTACAGCACCAGAAGTTCAGACAGAGCATAAACATTTATGTATAAAAACTTATGGGTGAGCTGACAGGTTCTAACAGAACAAACACTACATGCTCTAAAAACTTTTATTCATCTAGTTTTTTTCTTGCACATCAATGCTTCAGAATTCCTATTTTTGTTTTTCTTTCTCTTACAGTTTTTTATGTTTTTTCTCATTTTCTTGATCTTTAACTCCCTATTACTTCCCAACATAGTGGTTACCTGCAGCTTTATTGGTGTAGTGGTAGAGCACTCACCCCATAAACAAGAAGTTCCAAGTTCGATCCCCACCACGTCTTTGGTAGTATCGGGCTCAACTTGTTTCTCCATACAGTGGCCTCGTACATTAAGGTTTGTGTTTTGAAGTTATAGAGTTAAGGGAGGAATGTAACCACAATTAAAAGTAGTCTCCTCGACTAAAGTTGCCTTCATGGCCTTGGAGAAGTGAATTAACATTAAAAAAAATAAATAAAAACAGTTGCTGTAAAACACGTTTTTTTTATTACTTTAAAAATTATTTTACCAAAAAAAAAAAAGGATTATATATTTTTTTGTGCCCTTAATGTCCTTATTTTTTTTACCAAAGTACCAAGAATAAAAAATGATTTTATTACTTTCAAAACTAAATTTCTTTTAGAAACTTCTTATCTCTTATTTTTAAATTAGTGATATATTAAATTGTTTAAATTTTTAGAACATTTTTTTTTAGATCATTGAAGCATGGTTGATTTTATCATCTTTGATGCTTTTGTTTTTCTTCAGTACAATATATCTTCAGTAAGTTAGGAAAATTTTGAGTAAATGATGTTCACTTTGTTTTTTACTTTTAGTTTTGGATAAATAATGTTCACTTTATTTTTTACTTTATCTATTGTATATCTTTTTTATACTTATATTTTTTTGTTTGACTATATTTTACTTTTGCAAGAAACAATACTGTAACTTATTATACTGAAGTGGTCAGCAATAGAGGTTTCAGTACATACATTGTCTTACGGTTTAGCATCTAAAAAGTTAGGCAAAATATATATCTTCTATAGCTTGTTTAGATGAGTATTTGCTCACTAGTTTTGCTTGCCTAGCATACAGCGTTTTCAAAAAAAGAAAAGAAAAATTGAAAAATAATGAAAGAAAAGATTATTGCCCCATCCCAATATATTATATATATATATATATATATATATATATATATATATATATATATATATATATATATATATATATATATATATATATATATATATATATATATATATACATATATATATATATATATATATATATATATATATATATATATATATATATATATATATATATATATATATATATATATATATATAATATATATATAATATATATATATATATTATATATATATATATATATACATATATATATATATATATATATATATATATATATATATATATATATATATATATATATATATATATATATATATATATATATATATATATATATACAAATAGTATTGCGTACTTTGGTAAGCAATCTGACGTCATACTGAAATAGCCGGCTGCTGGGGGCTTCAGTCCATACAACGACTGACAAATAGCCTGACTCGCAGTGGAGTGCTGCTACATCGACTGAGGGTTTGGGATGGGGAAGCAATCGTTTTATTTATCATTCTTCGTTTTTTTCTTCTTCTTTTTCGAAAAAAACGGTTTGCCTTAAAGTAAGCAAAAAAAGTGAGCAAATGCTTATCAAAACACGCTTTAGTAAGTGTATATATATATATATATATATATATATATATATATATATATATATATATATATATATATATATATATATATATATATATATATATATATATATATATATATATGTATATATATATATATATATATATATATATATATATATATATATATATATATATATATATATATATATATATATATATATATATATGTATATGTATATATATATATAAATTTAAATCTGGCATTGTAATGACATTTTGTTACCTTCATAGTAATTTTTTAAATAATTTTTTTAAACAGTTTTATTAGTTTGATAATGGTTCTCACTATATCTCACTATATCTTCAGGTTTGTGGTTGCTAAATAGAAATTTATTTTTGTGACGACACTTGGCTCCATTTTTTAAAAAGGAAACATGGATAAAAAAGACGTATAATGATTGTTTTGACGTCACAATGGGTTGTTTTGATGGAGCCGAAGTATGCGAACTGGTGGGTTTATACATTCTAGACTCTTTATCCAAAGCAATTACTAAAAATGATATAGGTTTTTACCGAGACGACGGATTGATGATGATGCACAAAAAAACTACTGCACAGTTAGACAAAGTCAGAAAAAATATAATTGAGATATTTAAAAAGATCGGATTTCAAATAGTGATTCAAACCAATTTAAACAGTGTTAATTTTCTTGACACAACTTTTAATCTTCAAAAAAACTCCTACCAACCTTTTAAAAAACAAAATGACCAACTGCTCTACATCCACACCAAATCAAACCACCCGCCCCAAGTTCTTAAGCAGATCCCTCTCTCCATTAATGATTGATTATCGCAAAATTCTTCCAATGAAAAAATATTTAACGCTTCAAAAACAGAATACGAAGAAGCACTTAAACAAAACGGTTTTAAAAACTTTAACTTAAAGTACAACCCAAAAAACAAGACACCTCCCAAAAGAAAAAGGAATATAATTTGGTTTAACCCACCCTACAATAAAAGCGTCTCCACCAATGTTGGCCAAATCTTTTTGCAATTAATAGATAAACATTTCCCACCTTCAAATCCATCACATAAATTATTCAATCGAAACACTACAAAAATTAGCTACAGCTGCTCAAACAACATTTCAAAAATTATAAAAAGCCACAACAAAAAAATAAGTTTAATTAACACCACTGAAAATCTCCCTTGCAATTGTAAGCAAAAAGAAATCTGCCCGCTGAATAAAAATTGTAGAGCGACAAACATCATTTACAAATGTATAACATCTTCCCCCAAACACTCCCAGCAAAGCATACATTGGTTTATCAGAAGGATTGTGGAAAAAGAGGTATGCAAACCACAAGCAATCATTTTCAAATAAGAAACTTTCAAATATAATATAAAATGCAACCACTCTCTCAAAACATGTATGGGAAATTAGAGAAAAACTGAAAGAAACACAAGAATTAACTTGGTCTATCCTAAAAAAGCCCCGCCTATAACAATGAAACAAAAAAATGTTTACTATGTTTATATGAAAAACTGATTATATTGCTTTATAAAAATGCTGAAGAGCTACTCAATAAAAAAACAGAGTTGATCTCCAAGTGTCGTCACAAAAATAAATTTCTATTGAGCAACCACAAACCTGAAGATTAGATACACGTGGTCGTAACAATAAAAAAAGGTTTTTTCCGTATAGGTTTTTTCTGTATAGTTTCAATTGTATATAATTTTTTAAACAAACAAACTATATATGTATTTCACCAGATAATTGCAACAGCATGAAACTTAAAGTTGTGAAAATCATGTAGTTTTATTTTCTACTATATATATATTATAGCTCTGACTTAATTTATCGAGCACTTTCTTGATAGTATATGCACAAAATAGCATCACTACATAAACAATGTTTAGCTAGATTTTGAATAAAAAATATTGTTTATTTTATATTTAAATACATAGTTGCTATAAAATTGGCATAAATAGTTAGAAGTTACTGTTGCATAAATGTTTAGGTAAAAAGAAAAGAAATGATTTTTAACTTTTTATGGTTAACTATCATACTAAAAGTTTATAAAATGATATAGTTTAAAAAGCAATAAAATAAAATAAAAAGTTTTGTTATGAAAATGTTTTAATTTGCTGATATTCACTACATCTTTTTCTTTTAAGAGAACTGCTTCGTGTGTATAATGTAGCCATGGATTACATTACTGTTGTTCTTTTGATATGGAATTTTGGTGTTGTTGGAATGATTTGTATACACTGGAAAGGACCTTTGTTATTGCAGCAAGCATATTTAATCATTATTAGTGCTTTAATGGTATTATTATTTGGTTTTCATACTATAATATACAGCCCTCGGAATTAGAAAAAATGAGGTCTGCAATATTTTGCTGACCTTAATTTTTAAAAGGTTGGCAAAAAAATTCAGTGCAAAGGTTTTACCATAAAAATAGAAATGAGTTCAGCAATTTATTGGCGACCTCAAACACTTTAAGTTAGGTTGGCAATGCCAAATGCTGACCCTAATTCCAAGGGCTGAATATAAGAGCATACCTCCTTGAAAATATGATTATTATTTGAAATACATTATAATCAATATTTGAAACATAAGAGAGATAATTATAAGGTTATTTAGAGAAATAACCTTATAAATATATATTATTTTATATATCAATATATATTACACCATTACTATCTTATCTTTTTTGTTTAAAATTATTCATTTTATTTTACATTTTTACATCATAACATTTTTACAATTATTTATTTTATTTTACATTTTTAATCATTTATCTATTTTTACTTTTTACATCAATTTTTAATGTGAAAATATTTAACTTATGAATTAATTTGATAATTATTGTTTTGTGTTTAAAATAAAAATTTTTATCTATAGGCATTAGTTTTTATAAAATATCTTCCTGATTGGACATTATGGTTTATATTAGCTGCTGTTTCAATATATGGTATTGTTATTTATTTAATTATTGTTTCATTATGCATGTTGCTTACTTTTTAATTGTTTTATTTCATAGGGAAAATAATGAGCAGTCAATAATCAGTTTTTTTGAATAGCTATTTGAGATTCCTTAAATATTTTTTAAAATGGTAAGCCACAGTTTGAATGAAAAGAATTTTAATATAACTGATATAATATCTTGAGATAGTCGACTTTGAACTGTTATTTCTGTCTGACTGATATAAAAGGGTCATGAAATTTAAATAATAGTCTAAGAATAATAACTAATATGTTACAGGATATTAAAATAGTTTTGACTGCAAAGTAAATGAAACCCTTCAGATGTAATTCATTGCAGTTATATGGATACACTCGAGTACATAAAGGTAAAGAAATACTATCATTCAAGCACATAGAGGTAAAAAATGTTATTATTCAAACACATAGAGGTAAAGAATCTTGGCAAAAAAACTGTTTCAACTTTAAAAATATCTGCTCATATGTTTTGGCTCGTTAAAATTATACAATCAAAAAAACTCAACATAAAAGTTTTTATTTATATTCAGCACCAGTAAAATAGGTTTAATGATTATTTATTTGCATCTCGTTGTTCCAGTTAATGATTGCTATTATTGATTTTTTAAAGTGCCAAGACAAACTAATGGTATATACTAAATTATATTTAGTATAGTATGGGTTTTTATTGAAGAAAAAATTTTAAAGAACGATGACATAATACGTATGTCTATAATGGTTATTATGTCAGAAGCTACACTTTATTGAATATTTCTTATTACTTTATAAGTTTTCATATTTAGAAATACATCCCTATTGATAGGCATGTATTTTTAGTTTGGAATTATTTTATATTTAAAAAATAAAGTGATTGAGTATGTAATTGAATGTCGAAGTGTTGAACATCAATTTTGTCAAAGTGTTGAACATCAATTTTGTGGAAGTGTTGAACACCAATTTGCTAGGCGCTAAGATTGTAATTGTACTTTCAAAATCATATTCTTCTATATATAAATATCTATATAAATTTATATTTTATGTATTATATATTTACATATTATATTTTATATATATGTAGTTTATATATATATCATATTATATATATATCATATTATATATATATATATATATATATATATATATATATATATATTATATAATATTTTATATATATATATATATATATATATATATTTATATATATATATATATGTATATATGTATATATGTATGTATATATATATATATATATATATATATATATATATATATATATATATATATATATATATATATATATATGTATATATATGTATATATGTATTAGATATTATATATAAATATAAAGAGTTAACAATCAAATGTGATTTATTACACACGCACACACACACAAAAAAATGATTAGAAAAATAATTTTTTTTTTCTCTTCCATATGGCATGCACATTTTGTCAAAGAAAAAAATCTATAAAATTTTTATTTTATTTTGAACAAGTAAAAGTGATTTTAAAAACAAAATGTGTTCTGTTCTTTATCAGCATAATGTCATAAAATATTTATTCCTAACAACCAATTACAGACAAGCATCGCCATTTTGACATTTAACAAAACAGATTTGAGTTAATGAACCACCTACTTATCAAGTTGTCTTTGCAAGTTTACGAGGTTATATTTTGCAGTTTATTTATCATGCAGACCTAAATCAAAATTTAGTAAAAAGGTTGTGTCAGCATTTATACAAAGTTAATTTTTGAAAGTTGTTTCATAGAGAGTGTCAGTTTGCATGAAGATTTTTTAGAAGTAAGGTAGAACACACTAGATTAAAAAATAGCATAGCTACAGAAAAGTAACATTTGAACAGTGAAAGAAATAGAATAGAGCAGGAGAAAAAAGCTATTTGAATCGTACTAATTGTAAAGCTAAAAAAATATTTTTAATGTTTCTTTTTTAGTTTATATACATCCAAAGGTTTGCGGACAGACATAAAAAAATTAAATTTTACAAATATTTCAGCGCATAAACCACTTAAGCCAACATATTATATACCAATAAAAAGGTTTTCAGATTAACAATTGAACAAATTATGATTGTTTAATTAACATTTTAAAATTGGTTTACAAAATAAAGATTTTTGATAAGTTCAAAAGTTTGCAGACAAGTTAAAGATTTTAACATTTTTCCCACCAAATTGCTAATTTGTTAATTTTATTAACAAATACTTTTTGGAAATAATTTACAAACTTTATTTAAAAGAAATTTAGATCATGTGATCTAGAAATATGTATTATCTCCATCGAAGATTATCTCCATCGAAGATTATCTCCATCGAAGATTATCTCCATCGAAAAAGTTAATCTTGAGATCAGTTCAAAATGGAAATTCGTTTCGTAAAACAGCACAGCTTTACGGAGTTAGTAAGTCTGCTGCTGTACAAACTATGATGAGCTTTCTAGACCTACAAAAAATAGAAATCAATCAGGAAGGTCAACGGTCAGGGAGGTCAACGGTCAGGAAGGTCAACAGTCAGGAAGGTCATGCAAAACAACGCATCATTAGGATAAAAAGCTTGTGATACTAAACAAAGAAAATCCCCTTTTAATAACTATTGATATAAACGTATAAATGAGACATTTCTATAGAATGAATTGTAGTATTTCTACTATAAAATGTCATTTACGTCACACTAACTTGTTTGGAAGATGCCTAACTAAAAAACCATTACTTTTCTTGAAAAACCGTAATGCTCGAAAGGAATTTCATCAGAGCATCTAAAGTGGAGTAGTCAGAAATCCTTTTTAGTGACAAAAGCAAGTTTATGCTGTTTGGATCAGATGGAATCAGGTATGTTTGACATCTAGTAGGTACAAGATACAATCCTAAATACCAACTAACTACCATAAAACATTGACAAGGTAGTTGTAATGATTTAAGGATGATTTAGCTGGGATGGAGTTGATCCTCTTCATATAATTATTGAGACTGAGTTAAGAAAAGTACAAGGATATATGTAAGACTATTATGTTACCTTATGCAAAGGATAAAATGTATAGAGGATGAATATACCAACAGGATAACAATCCGAAACATACTGCCAATAGAGTTTTTCAAAAAGAGTAAAATTAATGTTTTAAAGTGGCTATCCCAATCATCTGACTTAAATCTCATTGAACATCTATAGGAATATGTTGACCGTCACATGAAAGGAATGCCTACAATCAAATGAAAGTACAGTCAAATGAAAGAAGCCTTCAAATCATGCTGATTTATTTAATTAAACCAAGGAAATATGGGACTCAATTCCCATTGATATTTCCATTCATTTAGTTGACTCTATGTCTCAAGCAATCAAGAATGGCTGGGCCATTCATGATTGTAAATATATCCTACAAAAAACTAATGTGATTTTGGTTTTATAAAAATTTGTGATCAAATATTGTTAAAAAATTTGTACTATTTAAAAAAATTCTTTGTCCACAAATTTTTGAACTTTTTGAAAATCGTTGATTTCACTGTGGACCAGAGGGCATTTTAGGTTTGACGGAGTGTCACCTGGGATTTTTTCACTGATAAATTAAAAGTAAAATTATTTTAAATTTTATGTAGAAGAACTCTTTAATTTGCCATTAATCATTTAAACTAAATTTTAAATTCGCCTGAAAACTTCTTGGGGCCCAGGGTTATTTTTGAGCCCTTGGCCTCGAGAAGTCTTAACCCTGGGGTTGTTTATTATGTTTCCAGACATAATATATTTGGTATTTTCAGTGGCGGAGCCCCGGGCCCCAAGAAGTCTTGGGCCCAGGGCTCCACTGAAAATACCAAATACATTATGTCTGGAGACAGTTTCTTACGTGATTCGGTTAGTGCAGTGTGTTGGGTTGGAAAATTTTAAAAAGTAACAGATGTAGTAAACAACTTTCTCCTCGAACAGTCATGGAATTGCAAGTCTCACTTGAACTTTCTGACAATGCAACAAAAAAACTTTGTTCTGCAATTAGGACTGGATTAAACGGAAGAGACTCTGTTGAAGGAAATATATTTCTAAAACTTGATAATCTTAAAGTAAAACTTGATGAATTATATAGTGTAGAGGAAGTTGAATTTGTATCTAACCAGAATGAATCTATAATAAGAGATTTAGTTAATGTTAAAATTCCTTCTGGTTAAATCCTGCATATTATTGAAGAAAGAGGTATAAATCCATGTGTAGGTTTTGTAAGAGTTTCTTTAGATGGTGGAGGAGACATCCTAAAAATTGTTGTGAATGTTTTTGAGGAAGAAAAAGAATCTGAAAATAAATTTCAAAATAGCGGAATTTAAAATGTTCTTATTTTAGCCATTGTTGAAAATATTCCTGAAAAATATGAAAACCTTAGATTAGTGATTGAGAAACTTAACCTTGAAGATTTAAACTATTATATTGCTTTTGATCTTAAATGTGCTAGTGTATTATTTGGTCTTTCATCACATGCAGGTAAAAAAGCTTGCTTGTGGTGTAGTGGCGAATGTACACTTGATATTGGAACTCTTAGAACTTTTGGCGATCTTGATTCCTGTTATGAAGCATATGTTGAAAATGGATCAATTAGATCTTCAATGAAGGAATTTGATAATATTGTAAACAAACGCCTAGTATATCGTTTACAATATTATCAAATTCTTTCATTGAAGATCTAATGATCTACAATGAAGGTACAATGAAGATCTATATATTAACTAGATAATCATTAATTTGTTCGAAACATAATTGTAAACTTGAAAACCTTTTAATTGGTATATAATATGTTAGATTTAGTGAAGTATATGCTAATATATTAGTAAAATTCTTTTTTTTTTTTTTGCATGTCCGCAAACTTTTGGGCACTACTGTAAATATATATATATATATATATATATATATATATATATATATATATATATATATATATATATATATTTATATATATATATATACAGTAGCGCTCAAAAGTTTGCGGACATGCAAAAATATATATATATATATATGCATATATCTATATATATATATATATATATATATATATAATATATATATATATATATATATATATATATACAGTAGCGCTCAAAAGTTTGCGGACATGCAAAAATATATCTATATATATATATATATATATGCATATATCTATATATATATATATATATATATATATATATATATATATATATATATATATATATATATATATATATATATATATATATATATATGTATGTATATATAAAGCAAAATTGCTTATTGGAAATTATGGTTAATTTAGACTTGTTCGCAGTACTCTGTCCAAAAGGTCCTCTTCGTATTCTTGTACAAACTGCACAGGAAAGGAATGAACAGCTTTTTCCATCACTTATTTATTCATGTAAGCAAAAAAATTATTAATAATAGTTTTGTAAGTAATTTCATATATTTTATAATAAATCATCTTAATGGTTGGGGACAAAAGGAAGGAAGTTAATTTTTTTTTTTGTTTACTGTCTTTCAAGCTAATAATAAAAAATACAAATCAATAATTTTTTTATTTGCTAATATTTAATATTTTAATAATAATAATTAATGTAATAATAATAAATAGAATAGTAGAATTTGTTTTAGAAGAATACAATAGGTTTTGTTGAATAGATAGTAATAATTTTTTGTTTAGGTAGGAATAAAGTTTTGTTCTTTTTAAAATAATAGCAACATTTATGTATCCCACTGTGGTGAACCAGGTTCAGGAAGCAACCAGCTCCCAAGCTAAACTTACAGAAAATACTGATGATAATCATGAAGATGAGCCAAATAATATTCAACAGCAAACAGCCCCCATTTTAAATGAACAGAATGTAGAAGCAACTGCAACCACACCGCCTACACAATCAGAAGGTCCTGAAGAACGTAAGCAATTAAATTTTAATTATTATAATTTTTGTATTATTTAATGTACTTATTATTTTTTACTAAACATTTTAATTTGTTAAAATATTGTTTAGTTATAAAAATATTATTTAGAAGTAAATAAAAATTAGAGAACTTAAAGTTTTGTTATACTAAAAATAACACATTAATTGCTTTAAAGTAGATGTCGTAGTCTACTTGAGCAATTCTTAGTCTGGTAAACCTTTAACAAATAGTTTAAATATTTTTTAGGAGGTGTTAAGTTGGGACTTGGAGATTTTATTTTCTATAGTGTTTTAGTTGGAAAAGCTTCTTCATATAAAGACTGGAATACAACACTTGCTTGTTTTGTTGCTATTTTGATAGTAAGTGGTTTATTCTTAACATTGTTCTTATTTCAGTATACAAGTTATACAAAAGTATGTTTGAAAACAATTAAGTAAATATTTTACAAAATGGTTGTGAAGTATAAACATAAAATAATTAGACTATTAAAAAACTCTCGTTAGTTAACATGCATTTCCTAGCAACATGCACTGCCTAGCAACAATAAAGCTGTAATAAATTGTTTGGATTAAATGTTCATGATACTTTGTAAAAGATGTTGTAAAGATCAACTCTCTCATAAATATTAACAAGATATATTAGTTCAAAAAGTTATAAGTAATTTTGTGTTCTTTAAAGTTATGTGTTTTTAATTTAATTATACCTATAGAATTTAACAAGTCTAAACTTAATTATAAAGAATTTCTTATAAAATTAAACTGAATCATATAGGATTAAGTTTAGACTTGTTAAATTTGATTAGATTATTAAATCTAAACAAAATTATAAAAAAATTAAACTGATTTATGCAGCCATTTTACATTTTCATCATCAGTTCCATTAAAGGATAACTTTTCATCTAGATTTTTGAGGTTTTGATGTTTTAGGATATCAGTTGTTTTGGGATATCAGTTGTAAAAATGTCACCCTTTATCTCAGATTTTACTGATTTTTATACAGTTGAGAGTACCTATTAAAATAAGAATTCCTTGAAAATTTTAGCTTCTGGCTCCAAGAAGATCCTGAAATATGATCATTTCACTTTTAGCAGATACTGGCCAGATACTTGTCCCCTTAGAATTGCAACATTTATTTAGAGGTTTCAAGTCACATAACTTTAAAATCAAACTTTAAAAATATTTAATATTTTTACTTAAAAATTTGTAACAGGTCTCTTTCAGGGGTGGCGAATCAATGAAATGATTCATAAGAATGTTTATCTTCAAGTGGCTACACGAAGATAAACCTTTTTGTAAAAAACCCTACATAGAGTTAAACCTGCTGTTCGTTCTTGCAGTAACAGTTTTTTTATAGAAATGTTCATATCAGAATTTAGCATTTATTTTCTTATACTTTCTTGTAAAAAAATAAAACCTTATACTAAATGATTATATTACAAAATGATATTGCATCTTACATATAAAGACAGAAATGTTGATTTTAATGCACGGAAAGAAATTTTTACAAGCTTTAAAGTAGAAAGTATGCTAAAAAAGTAATAACTGCTTTTAGTTAAACATACAGCGTAAACTTATTGCTGCCATTTTTTGTTGACAGCGAAAAAAATGTAGCACAAAAGAAAGTAAAGGCTGTTTTCCACAAGACAAAATATTCGCGCGAATCACATTTTTTCGCTGTGACGAAACGCTGTTTTGATTTCCAATTCGCAATTGTTATAGAAACTTTTTTTTTAAGTTTAAATCTAAGAAAATTGGTTAATTAGTGAAAAAAAATTTAAACATAATGAAACTAAATATAATTAATATTTTAAGGAATTATAGATACATAAAAAATCTCTATGAAAATACACTTTATTTGAGACTCAGATTGACATACTTTTAAAAAAAAAATTTTTTTACAATATTATTAACTTTTACCTCTGAGAAATGGAATAATAATTGTGTTATTAGTTCAGCAACAAAAAATTTTTGTTGTTAGCCTGTGCAACTATTAAAAGCACTATTTTAAAGGAGTTATTTTTTAAAAATTAATTAAAATGTTAGTTAGGGCTTTCAATGATTTCTAATCAAGTTGAATGAAAACTGCTATTAGAGTATTAATTACTACCTGAATATTTATTAGCTGCAGTAAATTTAATAACTATTAAACAACTACAAAAAATTAAGGTGGTCAAATTTCTAAAATCGTTTTTTTTTTCAACAAATATTATTTTTCAGATAATATTAAAAAATTGCTTTAGAAAAAAATAAAAATTTCAAATTTGGACCCTAGTTTTGTGTCACAAATCATAAAAAAGCCAGGAGATTCATCGATAGGTACTTTCATTGTTTTTAATATATTATAACAAGATACTCATTGAAGCAAAATCATTAACTGAAGACTCTGCTCAAGAATAAAATCAAAAAAAAAAAAATTGCTTTAATGAGTTTATCATGTATATTACTACAATTGTACAAAATTTAAAAGCATTACAACAAGTAGTTATTCAAGTTATTTATTGCAGCATGCTAAAAATAGCATTCTGAGAAAAAAACAATTTAAGATAATTAAAATTGAAAAAAATAAGTTAAAGTATTAAAACAATTTCTTGATTTGTTATCACTCCTCAATGTAAGGTTGTTATCACTCCTCAATGTAAGGTTGTTATCACTCCTCAATGTAAGGTTGTTATCACTCCTCAATGTAGGGTTGTTATCACTCCTCAATGTAAGGTTGTTATCACTCCTCAATGTAAGGTTGTTATCACTCCTCAATGTAAGGTTGTTATCACTCCTCAATGTAAGGTTGTTATCACTCCTCAATGTAAGGTTGTTATCACTCCTCAATGTAAGGTTGTTATCACTCCTCAATGTAAGGTTGTTATCACTCCTCAATGTAAGGTTGTTATCACTCCTCAATGTAAGTCTTATTTTATAAAAGCAGTAGTCTAAACTTATAAAAGTTTTTTATAAGCTTTAAATGTTTAAGTTTCATACAGAAATTAATATTCATGTTAAGCAAAACTGAAAAATTTTAAAATTATAAATAAATATTCTATAAAATGTAAAAATTCTGGTAACCCTATTTCAAATTTCAATAAAAATATTAATTGGAAGATTGAATTAATTCGTAATGACTCCAATAGTCACATGCTTGGCCTGGGCATTTACATTCGTAAGAATTCACTCATTTGTCGGGAAACTAGGTTTGAATCTACAGACTACTCTTTTATGTGCTTTCGTTTAGCACCACTTCACTCTATCACCTTTCTCTTTGTTCTATATTGCTCTCCTTTGTCTCAAGACTGCAATCTTCTTGATGTTATTTCTGATCATATAGACCAAGCCCTCTCTCTTTATCCATCAGCCAATATTGTTGTTGTTGGTGACTTTAATGCTCATTACACTGAATGGCTTGGCTCTAGTGTCGGTGTTTCTGCAGGCATTAAAGCCCATAACTTTTGCCCTTCTCAATCCCTAACTCAAATAGTCAACTTTTTAAATCGCTTACCAGCAGGGGTGTGGAGTCATAAAAAAAATGTAACGACTCCGACTCCAGTTATTGAAATTTTTTGAGCTCAACTCCGACTCCAATTCCGAAGCAAAATTTTTGAAAAATTCTTTGAATTCTTTAAAAAATATTACGGGATAAGTTAAAAGATTTTTTTTTGACAAATTTATGAAAAGTTTTTTGAGGTTTAGTATGAACGTAAGGTTAATTGAATGTTTTGTACATGCACGTGCAATACCGAGAAGTTTTACTATTGGAGTCGGAGTCGCAATTTTGTTTGGCGACTCCGACTCCGCTAAAAATGTCGCAACTCAGACTCCACAGCCTTGCTTTCCAGACAACCCAAATCATTTACCTTCTTTACTTGACTAATGTCTGTTTTTCTGATCCTAGTCAGTGCTCAGTTTCTCCACATTCACCCTTAGGTGCCTCTGATCACAGTTTGATCTCTCTAAAACTATTATCTCATTCTTCTTCATCATCAGAATCCCCCTATCATCATACCTTTTACAACTACCTTAAAGCTGACTGGGACTCTTTCTGTGATTTTCTTTAAATCATGTGATTAAATAAATAATCTGTTGAAAATGTGCTTCTTACATAACCTCATGGGTTCAGGCTGGCATCAAATCCTTTATTCCTTCTTGACAATTCCAGGTCAAGCCTTACTCTTCTTCATGGTTTTCCTCATATTGTGCTTCTGCAATTGCCAATCGAAACCATTACTTCCATATCTATCAGCAAAACAATTCTCCAGAAAACAGACGGTTTTGTCTAACGCCAAACCCTGCTATTCTCAGATCATAAAATCTCATATTTCATCTCAAAAATTAGGCTCTCGTGACTTCTGGAGAATCTTTAATAGTAGCAATAAAAAGGGCAAGTCTGTAATTCCACCTCTTTTGTCTTGTTTTCCAGCCAGATGCATTTAACATCTGCCCAAGATGAATATTTTTATCAAGACACCACCTTTAGCCTTTACTCAACCAAGAGCCTCGAGGTAGGGGGTTTTTCATGTCAGAGTTGGCATCTCCTAGCCTTTGCCTAAAAAAGGCGTATCCTACAAGGTAGCAGCACATGAAGCAGATTGTAATGGGTTACATGTTACCAGTAGCAGGATAAACCTGACCTGGCATAATTTAGTTCATAATAAATTTAGTTAACCACTTTATCTTTTAAATGCCTTTTTTAAATTTTTGCAATTAAATAAATTTCATTGTTTTGAGTTTTTTTAAGGCACCTTTCAAACATGTTTTTATCAGGTAAATCAATAAATATTAGCTTGATTATGTAATTACTACAGGCTGTCTTGGTTTTTCTATTCGAACATGTTTCAATAATATTGTCTGCTTAAAATATGCATCAGGTATTAATAGTTCCATAGCACATTGAATGTCTTAATTCTGAAAATGCCTCAAATTTCCAAAACTACAGCTTTTGTAATGTCCTTTTCTAATTTCATGTATTCATTTTCTAATTTCATGTATTCATTTTCTAATTTCATGTATTCATTTTCTAATTTCATGTATTCATATGTATTTCATTTTTATGCATTGTAATTACTAATTATAGATTTACATAAAAAATCATTAAAATTTTTATTTGATACTTTTTTACTGGTATAGAACTTCATATTTCATACACACTCAGTGCACTTAAATAGCAACAAAGAACTTTTTTTTTTTTTTTCTACTATCTATATTCATGTTAATAGACTTCATCTCACAGTCAGGGCATGCTCAAACAAAAGCAAGAGATTGTATAATAATATCAACATCAATTAAAAGATTATTGTGAGGTTGTGGAATAGTTTCATCATCGACAATTAGATAGTTGATTGAGATTGTAAATTTAGGCACAAAAAAAAATA